ATGCCACTCCACACACGAACATGCCATGCAATTCCACACCATGCCACGCCAATACACACACCATGCCATGCCAATACACACACCATGCCACGCCATGCCAGTACACACACCATGCCACGCCATGCCAATACACACACCACGCCATGCCATGCCAAGCCAATACACACACCATACCATGCCATGCCAATACACACACCATACCATACCATGCCAATACACACACCATACCATGCCATGCCAATACACACACCATACCATACCATGCCAATACACACACACCATACCATACCATGCCAATACACACACCATACCATGCCATGCCATGCCAATACACACACCATACCATGCCATGCCAATACACACACCATACCATGCCATGCCAATACACACACCATACCATGCCATGCCAATACACACACCATACCATACCATGCCAATACACACACCATACCATGCCATGCCAATACACACACCATGTCATGCCAATACACACACACTACACACACTACACACACACACTACACAACACACACTACACACACTACACACACACACTACACACACACACACAACACACACACTACACACACACACTACACACACACACTACACACACACACTACACACACACACTACACACACACACACACTACACACACTACACACACACCTACACACACACACTAACACACCACACACACACCTACACACACACACTACACACAACACCACTACACACACACACTACACACACACACTACCACCACACTACCACACACACACTACACAACACACACACTACACACACACAAACACACACACACACACACACACACACACCACTACACACAAACACACACACACAACACACACACACAACACAACACACAACTACACACAACACACTACACACAAACACACACACACACACACACACACACACACACACACACACACACACACACACACACACTACACACACACAACACACTACACACACACACACCTACACACACTACACACACACTACACACACAACACACACACACACACACTACACACACACAACACCACACACACCACACACACACACAACACACAACACACACTAAACACACACACTAAACACAACACACACTACACACACACAACACACACTACACACACACTACACACACACACTACCACAACACACACACTACACACACACACACATACACACACACACTAACACACACACACTACACAACACCACACTACACACACACACACCCACACACACACACACACACACACCACACACACAAAACACACTACACACACACACTACACACACACACACACACACACACTACACACACACACACACACACACACACACACACACACAACACTACACACTCACACACACACTACACACACACACACTACACACACACACACTACACAACACACACACACAACACTACACACACACACACACACTAACACACACACTACACAACACACAACACACACAACAACACACTACACACACACACACACACAAACACTACACACACACTACACACACACTACACAACACACACACACACCACACACACCACTACACACACACAACTACACACACACACACTAACACACACACTACACACACACACAACACCACACACACACACTACACACACACACTAACACACACACACTACACACACACACACTACACACACAACTACCACACACACTACAACACACACTACACACCACACCTACACACACACTACACACACACTACACACACACTACACACACACTACACAACACAAACTACACACACACTACACACACAAACACACACTACACACAACTACAAACTACACCACACTACACACAACTACACCACTACCACACACTACACACACACTACACACACACTACACACACACTACACACACACTACACACACACTACACACACACTACACACACACACACACACACACACACACACACACACACACACACACACACACACACACACACACACACACACACACACACACACACACACAACACACACACACACACAACACACTACACACACACACACTACAACACACACACTACACACACACACTACACACACACACACACTACACACACTACACACACACACACACACACACACACACACTACACACACACCACACACACACACACACTACACACACTACACACACTACACACACACACACACACACACACACACACACACACACACACACACACACACACACACACACACACACACACACACACACTACACACACACACTACACACACACACTACACACACACACTACACAACACACACTACACACACACACTACACACACACACTACACACACACTACACACACACACTACACACACACACTACACACACACACACACACACACACACACACACACACACACACACACACACACACACACACACACACACACACACTACCTACACACGATTTTCTTTTCTCTTCCCTCCCTACTTTTTTATAGATATATCTGACGTGTGAAGGTGAAGGACATTGCCTTCACACTGAAGGTAAGGTGTGGGGGTGTTGAACTTGAGAGGGTTCTCAGTTGATGTATTACTGGCAAGACAGTGAACGATTTTTCTTTATTCTTCCTTGGAGTGTCACAACCAGTGAGATAAAATGCCTGAAAGTCAATCTTGTTTTAGTCTGTAGTTTGAATATCACTTGCTTATATTGAAGTGCCAGTAGCAGTAGGACGTCCCATAATAGCAAATGTACATGAAGCAAGGGAAACTTACAATAATGTTGGTAGAATTACCGACTATGTAAAGTAAAAGGACACAAGTGCAACTGATGTGATATTTTTGTGGCAATGTTTCGGTCGCCAGGGGCTTTGTCAGGCCGTTACGAACAATACATGGACACAGAGGGTATATATGGGCTTAGTGTGAGGTGTAATATTAGTGGTGGTAGTAGTAGTAGTGACATCAGTTGTACTAGTAGTAATTCACTTAATGTGTACATGAGTAAAAGGATATAAAAGCTTTTACTTGGGTAGCATAAAAATAAGTTAGATAATTTTTTTTATTGGAGGTTGAATTGGAGAAGGCTTGTTTCAGTGTTCATCCTCTGTAATGTGCAAATTAATTGTATTACTACTACTATTACCACCACTAGTATTACACATTACTCTAAGCCTATATATACTGTGTCCATATATCGTTTGCAACGGCTTGACAAAACTCCTGGAGAGCGAAACGTTGCCACAAAAATATGACATTAGTTGCACTTGTGTCCTTTTACTTTACAAGGGAAACTTGTTTGGAGAGGGGGAGGTATGGAAGCAAAGATGGGAATGTACCATAGTATAGTGGCACCAACACTTGTATGGGTGTGAGGCATGGGTTTTGAACATGACATTTGATAGCAGTGTATTAGTTTTGTTTGAAAGCTATGTGTGGTGCAAATATCATGCAGAGAATTTAGTGCTAACAATAAAAGGCGATGTGGCGTCACCAAGGGTATAATTCAGAGGGCTGAGGAGGAGTTGTAGTATAGAAAGGATAGAGAGGGAAATTCAGTTCAAGTTTATTCTCTATAAGGGTTACAATGTGGGGTTTACAGGATTTGGATATTGTGTGGTTTACATGTTATAAAATACTAATTACAGAGGGGGCCACTGGGATACCTAGCATGGCTAGGCATTTCGGGCAGACTTAGATTAATTCTTAACATTAAATCCTTACAGATTATGGTATTAAGGCTAGGTGACTACATTATAATTTGTGAGTTAAGGTTAAAAATGAGCATGTGTAAATCTGAGGTAGAAGGTAGAGGCCATCCCAGCAACTGTTGGAGGGAGAGGTAGAAGAGGTTTTGAGTTTTATGGATATGAGCATCATCCAGCAGGCTTGAGTGTGTTTAGATAGTGAACGGAGACAAGTGATTTTTACTAGAGTTGCTGTTAGTGAACTAGGTTACTTTCACAAAGGGATTCTAGGGTAATGATTGCCTTGAAGTGAGTCATGTAGTTAGCATGGGATGGGGATGTTGCAGTCAAGGGGTAATCTGATTATGTCAACACTTTGGAATGACATCAATTTCATGAATGATAAATGTGTTTACTTCTCGGGGTCATCCTGCCTTGGTAGAATATAACCATTAAGGTAAATAATAATGTGTATGAAAGTAAGTGCTATGAACACGAAGCTGAAGGTTGTCCCTCAGGTAGACGAGAAATTATCGGTGGAAATGAGACTAGATTCTGACCCCTAACTGGAGTCCTTGACAGCAGAATATAAATATGCATGTATTGACAATACAAGTAATGCATACTAGTATTATCTTCTGAATGTGGGCTATACGTGTATGTGTATACATGCACATGTACCTATTTTTAATGTGTGTGTATGCATTTCTTGCATATATTTAAAATACACATATATAATAATGCAGAAAGACCCATGTGGATTCAGCATTTCTTTGTGAATGTAGTAAATCTGCTCAAGACCCTTTGCTATGAATGTGGGATTTACATGCGGTAGGTAAATAGCTCCTTAGAGCTTCTTAACGTGCTGGTAATGCATGCGTGTGTCTTGGTGAGTATGTCTGAACTTTTAGGCTCTTTTTAGGATTTGACGAGTTGGGTGTCTGCACGTGATGTATGTGAAGGCTAGATAGCAGAACTGTAGCAAAGGTGTTGTCATGCCTAGTAGAGGTCTTGCATTGTGGCTGTGAACTTCAGGTATGCTCTTGTTAATTGACTTGATTTTTGTTAACATGTTAGTAATAAGTTTTAAGTTTGCCTGTCAACAGTGCAATTTTTAAATTGCTCATATTGTTTAGTAGGTGTTCATTGAAAGTTACTCAGTCAGTTTAAGAGCACAGCTTGAAGATTACTGCCCAGTCTGTATTTTATTTTCTTATAATTAACTTAAAAGTTCTAATGGCCTTGTCTTTTCAGGGAGGAGCGGGAGGTCCACCAGGTGGGGGCCCCGGGGCACCAATGTATAATCCAACATTCAATCAGGGATATTAGGACACGGATATATCGCTTTGGGAAGCGGCTACTTCTCTTCTAGATGACAGGTAAGTGTATTATCTAATATTTTTTTCCTTTTCAGGTTTTGTCAGATCTGAGCCTTATTACTGAAGTTACTTTGGATTTTTTTTTTTCCTTAAAGAATATTAAGAAGTGCCCCATTTTAAAAGCCTTAGTAATTAGAACTCAGGTCTGACTTTATCTCGTCTCTCAGTAAGTGTGACAGTTTTACTTAACTGTTGGTGACACATTGGCAATATGACTAGTAGTAGCTTGCTGCACTCGTGAAGTACCTAGCTGACTGGCTGGTAACGCCACTCCCAACCTCTGAACCATCACCGCCCCCCATCGACGGACCTTGGTTAAGGGTTGCTGCTGCTGCTGCTGTTGCCGATTATCATGGAAAATTTCAAGTACTGGAGATGGCCAGTGCCACACGTCACGATCATGTTGGAACACCAATGGGGTCTCCGGCGACACGGGGGGTTCAGCCAGCGTGGTAGGTCCCCTGGAGGGTAAGTGAGCCGTAGCCTGCCAAGTTCAAGTTGTTTCAAGCTAACCTGTATTTTTCTTACAGGGACCTTACTACAAACTGAGAGAACAATGTGTTGATTTGTCTTTTTCAGACCCATTTGTTGTTGCCTTGAAGACTTCAGTTGTGAGTTGTTGGCCTCAAAATGTATCATGTTGCGATATCTTATTCGTGATGTCATGATGTTCCCCGATGATATGAGATGCTATTCATAAGGATGGTATGAAGCTGCTGCATACTTCAAGATGTACAATGATTTTCGTGTCACTTATAACTACTATTATTATAATTGTAAGAGGGTTCTTGTTAATGAAGCTGCTTTTTTTTCTCCTTTTTTTTTTATCAGATCTTGTAAATATGTCACATAGTTAACTCTTTCTATAATTATGCCTAATGTCAGAAATATACCTTGTACAAGATAATTGTAGGTTTTATTGCTGTGCTAAGGGGAAAAAAAATCTCATTGTTTGATGGGGTAGCTGGGGTGGGCTTCGCTGACCTCTCAGAAATGTGCATTCTTACTCTTTTAAGCCATGTACCACGTGCCTATTCTGCATATTATTCTCCGTACAATCCCAGTATTGAAATTGATCCCTTATTCTGTTTTTATATCATTGCAATTGAAATTTTTCATGTAATATCCTAACCTCCTTTTACAGGTTAATATCTCCGTGATATGCCATTCTTTTTTTTATATACATATATACGTATATATTTATACATATATACACTCAAGAAATCATAATGTTTATACCGTAATACCATTTCGGGATATTTGTGAATGTCATATGTTATGTTATGGCCAATATCATTACAGGCTATTCAGGGAAATGAGTTAAGGAGGAAGAAGAAACACAATCACCACGCGACAAGCAGGTAAATGTAGTAAATGATACTCTAGATTATTATTATTATGACCATTTACATCCACGTGGATGATATTGATACCGTAGTTTTATTGCTCTGCCGCATTGGCCCTTGCTCATGGCTGGGGCACATTTATCAGCTATTTTATATTTTATATTTGCCATTGATGTGTTATTTTATATCCATATTTATATTTTTTCATTTATAATGAAGGCATGGTGCTCCCTTGGTGTGTTTCTCAATATGGCAGTGAATATTATCTTGTGATTTCCATTTTGATCCGAACCCATCTTTATTATTATTATTGATGCCCGTATTCTTATTGACAACTGCTTTATGGATGATAATGATCTACATTCTGATTGTCAGTGGTGGTGAGAGGTTCAGCTCATTCCAAGCACATGGGTGGGGAATCGGGTGGGTAGGTCTTCTGCACTTGTGTAGGCCAGGTCAGCAAAGTGTTGTTTTATGTTGAAAAAGTTGTCCAGTTGAATAGGTTAGTATTCCCTCTTAATGGAAAGCACGTCTTAAATTATATTTTTCTTGGTGGGTTTCGTCAGGTAAATCCTCCCTAGTATTTTTAATTTTTCAATTCTTCGTGACATGAAGGTTTTTTCCACATGTATTTTTGGAGTTTCACAGACTTGCTCAATTGCTGCCACTGGCCGGTGTATCATTGAGACGACCAATAAAAACCTTCCTAACTCCAGCCCTGTGTCCTTACTGCCCTAGCGCCCCTGTATTGGTCTTAAGACAATTAATAAAAATGTGTGATTATTGGTGTTTTATTTATCCACATTTTTTTTTTTTTTTTAGAATGTCCTGTTTTTTGTGTAGAACGTTGAAAGCTTTGTTGAATTTAAAGTAAATTATATCACGACTTTCCAGAATTTTAATGCGATTAATTGTTGTGTTAGTGTTTTTTCTGTTATTCATCGTACCATTTTCACTTATTTTCTAGATCATGTAATCATGCTTTGAAATTTAACCTCTTCAAGGGGGGCTCCTAGCAGTGGTGAAGAGGCTCATTGTCTGAGGAATTGGACCCTTCAGTCTTCTTTTTCTGATCGAACCTAATCCCCCCCCCCCCCCAATCCTTTCCTTCCCTGTCCCATCCTCCTCATCCTTCCTTTCCCAGTGCTCCTCCTCTTCCCATCCCTTTCCCTTTCCTATTTTCAGCCTTTGGGGTTCTTCCCTCAGGCATTCTAGTTCGTAGGCCAGGGAAAGACCTCCAGGGTCCATCTCATTCAGGTCCTTGGTGGTAGTGTAGTTTGCCATGGAATCTGGATCGTCTGGAGATCCTGATCCCTCTCCAGTCTATCGGGGGAGGTTTTGGCCGTCTTTCAGATGACAGATATATCTCTGGAGGCTGCTTGTCAGATTTCACGTGGTGGTGGCCGAAGGAGTTATGCTTTGTCGCAGGTTTCCGACTACCCTCTCTTTTATCTAGTGAGGTGGCTCGGTAGATGTGAGGTTGCTATCCTGGATTGCTCATTTACTGGCATGAAGGGAAGGATATGGCATGGGTTCCATGCCACATCTGCACTACCGGCTGCACTGAGGTCCTCTAGGACATGGAAGGGGCATTTATTGTTCTTTCCTCCTAGCATCCCTTCTTCCCCCCCCCCCTTTTTTTTTTTAACAAAAAGAAAATTGAGACCTAACCATGGAGTCCCAAATCCATGAGACATCTCCTCCTGGGGCCCCATTCTGTAGCAGCACATCATTCTTTGTACCTTTATGGCTCCCGTATACCTGAACGTGATAGTCAGGTTTCTAGGCCTTCTCTTTGACCGTAGGTTATCCTGGAAACCCCACATTACCTCTCTAAAGGCAACTTGTCACAGCCGGCTGAACCTTCTTAAAACCCTTGCTCATCTTTCATGGGGAGCTGATCGTCGAACTCTCCTTCGCCTACATTTAGCCCTCATTTTATCAAAACTCGATTATGGTGACCAGATCTATTTGGATTACGTTTATGCCTTGGTGCTCTTCACTCTTTCCCTGTTGAGAGCCTCTATGCAGAAGTGAATGTTCCATCCTTGTCTGATCGCCGTGATGCCCATTGCCTTTGCTACTGTGTGCGCTCTCATGATCTCCGCAATCCGTCATCTATAGAATGGTCACTGATATTAGTAGACATTCTTTATTTGTTCGCCGCCCCTGTTTGCTCCGTCCCTTCTCTCTTCGCCTACATTCGCTCTTGTCTTCCCTTCAGTTACTGCCTTTATATGTTCATGTAGCATCTCACTTTTCCTTACCCCTCTGGGAAGTTCCAGCTGTTCAGGTCTGTTCTTTCTCACTCCCTTGCTCGAAAGCCCAACTGCATACGGTGGCTTCCCGCTCTCTCTTTTTTGACCGCTTCCACTCTCATTCTCATGCCATCGCTGTGTACACAGATGGCTCTAAATCTTCTGACGGAGTCAGATTCGCAGCAGTGTTTCCGGACAGCGTCGTGCGAGGGCATTTATTATCTTCGGCTAGCATTTTTACTGATGAATTGTATGCCATTCTTGCAGCACTTGTATCACATCTATGCCTGTGTCATCTGTGGTTGTCTCAGACTCCCTTAGTGCTCCACAGGCTATACTGAAATTTGATACACCTCACCCCCTAGTTCTCCGTATCCAACATTGGCTACGCTGTATCTCTACCAAGCATAAAGATTTTGTTTTTGTTGGGTCCCTGGTCATGTTGATGTACATGGCAATGAACAGGCAGACACTGCTGCGCGGACAGCAGTACATGACCTACCAATTTCATATAGAGGTGTTCCATTTCCGGACTATTTTGCTGTAATAGCTACCCACCTTCACACCCATTGGCAACAACGTTGGTCTGCTCTACTCAATAACAAACTTTGTTCTTTTAAACCGATTATAGGTTACTGGCCGTCTTCTTGTCACCAGTGTCGAGGTTGGGAGACTACTCTCTCCTGCCTTCGCATTGGCCATACTCATCTTACTCATGGATATCTCATGGAGAGGCGCCCTGCTCCTCTCTGTGAGAATTGTCAGGTTCCATTATCGGTCAGCCACATTCTGTTAGACTGCCCACTTTATCAACGAGCACACAGAATTTACCTCCAATGTCGTCTTCGCTCCGCTGCTCTCTCTTTACCTTCCCTTCTTGCTGATGGACCCACCTTTCATCCAGACTCATTGACTTTTTGACAACAACTGACTTACTCCACAAACTCTGATGATACCTTCAGCCCTTTTTACCTCAATCTCTTGATACCCTCTACCCCTGCACTATCCCCTGCCTCGCTGTTTTCTGTAACCTACTAATCATCCCTCCCCCCCTTCTGCCGCCCGATACCCTCGCTTCCTTCCCTACCCTGCAGCGCTGTATAGCCCTTGTGGCTTAGCGCGTTTTTTTTTTTATTATAATAATAATAATCTGTAGCAGCACCCTTTTGCCACCCTGCCTTTTTACCAGACCATTCTTTGGACTTTTCTAGTGCACCTGTATCTTCTGTGGGTGACATTTTGTTGCACACTCCTGATACTGGGGCTTGGTCCGACTCCTTTGACTATGCTTCTGGCTTCTTCCCATACAGTGTGACAGTTTTCAGATCATTCGCCCACCTGAAAACTGACCACCTCCAGTCTTGCATCTAAATAACCACAAGCATTCTCTGATGACACTGCTTGAAATACCCCTCACTCTACTCAGAAAAGACCAAAGCTACAAGAGCTTCCTTTACATACTATGCATCATAGTACACAGTGGACTATGCTTTTTCACTCTGCAGCCGACATATTCCTCAGACTTCCTTTCTGACTATAGTATCAGCAAGGTGCTCGTGTGCCATATTGGTTGAAATATTACATTTCGTGGTCTCAAGCAGTGCATGCATCATCATGGTGCAAAATGCTAACCAAGTTCATGATCTCTCTCTCCTTACCACCATAGATGCTATTCCTGTAAAAATTCAAAAACACAGTTCTCTCAATTCTTGTAGTGGTACCACCATTCTACCTCATACCCCTCTTTAACCCTTTCACTGTCGAGTCCCCTGATTCTAAACTCGTTCTGTGCTGAAAAATATTCAAAAAATAAAAAAATATATTTTTTCTTATGAAGTGATAATCTTTTCCTGATGGTAATGACGCCCCCCAAAAAAATGAAAACTTACGGAATTATGCTCTTGCGAAGTTAACGCTCTTGGCAATATTTACACATTGCTGATTTTGCCCAATTTGTGCCCTATTTTCGGCCAGTTCTATTGTTCCAGTCAACCAAACTCGTAGGTATTTTGCCAGAAGTCCATTTGTTCTATCGATTGAGTACAATAAACCACCCATTTACTGTTTTAAACTACCCAATTTGGTGATCAGCCTTTGGTAATTTGGCCAATTTCATACAAAATTCAAATAAGGATAATACCAAAATAAGAGCCAGAATAAACAATGCAAACATTCCTAGCGCTAAAATAACATTTTCTCTGTTCATTAGTCACGTCTCCAGGCCCTTTTTTTCTTATTACCTTTGCTTTCCATTTTGAATTTTTGTTCACAAAAAAAGATTGTTATGCAGACAATTGCATTATTGTAAAAATGGTATAAATGATAGCACATTCGTGAAAGCATATTAAATCCACCAGTTAACTTGTATTGGATGTGTGGCATGATTTGTTTACTCTTGAACATCTGCAGAAATCGAACATTTCTACTACTTTGAGCTCAATTTCATGGTACTTTTAGTCTGACAACCATTGAAAAATCATTCTATTTCTGTAATATATCTTCCATTCTATGAAATGAGACCAAGAAAATGAGAATACATCCATAAATACACTGCAAAATCGAAAATACACCACAAAAATCACACATGCAAAAGTCTGTTTTAAACCAAAAACATGGTCGGGTTTTTTTTTTCCATTATGCACTGTGTGCTGCAGCATTTTTTTTTATACTGAGCACACAGACCCATTCTTTCACATGTAGGCCTACCAGATTTGAAGGTGCTAGAATTTTGGCATAGTATTTCAGTACCTACACTAGCTCTGGAGCAGTAATATAATGGGACCCATATTGAAAGGGTTAAGGAAGTCTCCTTGTTACAGTAAAGAGGCTATTGGTCTGAAGAATTGGACCTTTGGGTATTCTTCCTCAGACCAAGTATAATTACCCCCCAATTCCCCCTTCCATATCCCATTCCCCCTTTTTTTTATCCCCCTTTCCTTCCCCCCTCCCATTTCCCCATCCCATTTGTAGCCTCTGTGGTCCTTCCCTCTGGCATGGTTTCTAGGTAGAGGGAAGTATGCCAGGGTTCATCCCGCTCAATGAGGTTCCTCGGGTGTGGTGTAGTTTGCCTTGGAATCTCGATTATCTGGAGACACCCTACTCCTTTCCCAGATTTCCAAGAAGTGGGTGGGGTGTCCTGCAGGTGACGGGTGTATCTCCAGAGGCTGCTTGTTGGTTCTGGGAGGTGGATGCCAAAGGAGGTATGCTTTGTGGTGGGTTTCCAACCACTCTCATCTGCTGATGTGGCTCGGTAGATGTAAGGTTGCTATCCTGGAGCGCTGGTTTACTGAAGTGAAGAATAGGGTATTTCATTGGTTCCACACTGCAACTGCACTACTTGCCGGCGCGAGGTCCTCTCAGATAAGAGGAGGAACTTGCAGCCCTTTCATGCCTTCTAGTGACTGCCCCCCCCCCCCCTTTTTTTTTTTTTTATTTACTTTAAAATAATAAACCCCCCCCTCCTCCCTGGCCTCTTTCTGTTCCCACATCCTGTTCTGACCTGGCTTCATTATTAGACTTCCCATT